CATTAAAGAAAAGGTGGAAACAAAAATGGACGTGGAAGGCTTCGTTTTTGATTATCATTTTTCTTGTACTTAATTGATTTTAACAACACTGATTGAAGAGCCTCTAAAAGCCAGGCTTATAGTCAAACTTTGTCAATTTGACAGATCCCCAAAAAATTAGCATCGGAAACAGCCTTTAAATAAATGAAATCAATTAAAAAAATGAATCTCTTTGTTTCCTTGCATTTTACTTTAAAATGAAATAAACTTTACTAAACAATTTATGACTTTAAACCCAAATAATGTTGCGATATTTTACTACTGAAAATATGATAAGGGATTTTGCTTCTCTTTCGCGTACATATTAAAGATCGTATTGTTATTACATATTTTAAACTTTCAAGTATTAACCTCTAGTTAGTGTGAATCTAAATTGATAGATAGACAAACCAGACAACTCGAAAGTTATAATACATGTAGCATGACCCGAAACGCAAGAAGCAATGTAGCATCTGCTTGTTATACTTATCATGAAATTGATCTGACTGATTCCAACCAGACCTGAATGCATAAGTAGATGGTGTGCAAGTAAAGTGTTCAACTAAAAATGACAATTACTGTGTGAGTCAAAAGTCAGTTTAAACTTTAAATCGATATAACTTTCGAACAGCTTTAGATAGGAACATAATTTTTTCAGCGTAATGCATAATTTCGGAGCGGATTACATTTTCTAAAATAAAAAAATTTTGACCTGGAGATCGACTATTCCCCCTTGAAAGTGGGCTTCACAGGGCCAGAATTACGATAATTTGCTGAAAATTTTTTTATTTAAGAAAATGTGATCCGCCTCGAAATTATGCATTACGTTGAAAAAATTATGTTCCTATCTAGAGCTGTTCGAAAGTTATATCGATTTAAAATTTAAACTGACTTTTGACTCACACAGTAATACATTTATGCACAAATTGACACAAACGCGTGAAAATTAATTTCTTTCAAATGAAAATTATGATATGATTCTGTGAGTTTGAGAAATTGAGCCCAAATTTAAAACTGCAATTGATCACTTTGATCTTAAGTTCAATGGACCGGCTTATGTGGCCGTAAGAGCTAGAGATCTGAAATACATTTTACATTAGACTGATAAAACTCATGAGTGAACATGGCGAGTCAAACACTTTTTCCGATTCATCAATAAGTTTCTTTACGATTAGAGCTAAAACTTCTGGCCTCGATATTTCGAGAATGGTAGACCTACAATGATCATTATTTGGCTAATCATTAGATTTTACTGTGGGCTGTAACATAATATGACTATGACAGAAATAGTCTACTTTATATACATTTACAATATAAAATCAATCAGTTTGTTACTGAAGAGACACAATAAACACAATTGTAACATTTGTTATGAACAAATTGAAACAAATGGCCAGAAACGGGTAAAAATTGATTTCTTTAAAATTATGACTCTTTGGGTTTGTAGGGACATAAGAGCTGTGTCCATTTGGCTGATTTAAAAATTTCTCTGATCCACAGTTTTCGAGCAAATCAAGGTCAAAGTCTGAACTTCGATTGCCTTTTGTACGTTTAGGGTAAGAGATTTTCTCATGAAACTCATTTTGATGATGTGAATTTTGAGGGTCAACCAGAAAATGTACTTTATTACATGAAATAAAATTTTTTGGTTCTGTAAAATAGATTATTTCGATTTTTAGTTGAGCCAACCGCATTCTATGACCCTAACAATTAGAGAGCTGAAGCATATTATTTGACCCTAAAAATTGTTGGTTAACATCGTGGATCAGATACTTTTAATAATTTGATAACAGTTCTCTTGATTTTGGCTATTAGCATTGGAACTTCGAGCCTCGATATTTCGCGAATAGTAGCATCTACAGTCATCTTTCCTTCCCCAACTTAATTCTTTGCTAATAAATAATAAAATTCAATTTGATAACTCTCCATTAGCGTATTCTGGTCATGATTTTTGGTCATGATGTAAATGCACGAGTAACAGCTTATTCAACAAGCTAAACTCATCTTAACACAAATCTTGGTAAATAAACCATTTTTATGGTTAAACCTGAAAATGCAATGTAAAAAAGTACTGCAAAAGCATTGAACATTTGAATTGAGAGTTGAGACTTGTTGGATTTGTAGAGAAATGCAAACTAAGTCGATTGGTGCCATTAGATAATTCCTCCGATTAGTTGTTTTCAAGAAAATCGAGGTCAAAGTTGAAACTTCGATCGTCTTTTCTTCAGCTTTGGAAGAATCTTTTTTCATGAAACTAATTTTGTTAAAGTATCTTTTGATGATCAACCAGAAAATGATCTTATTTTGAGAAATAACATTTTCAGTTTTTGTAAAATAGATCAAGTTCGATTTTTAGTTAAACCGACTTTTTTCTGTGACCGTAAAAGTTAGACATCTGAACTTATTATGCATATTCAAATATTGTTGGGAAACATCAGTGACCAAATACTTTTTTCAATTTATTAGAATTCTCTTATTTTTGCCAATGGAACTAAAAACTTTGA